ATAACTTTATCAGTGACTTAGACAGTGTGATCAAGTGCACCCTCAGCAAGTTTGCGATGACACTAAGCTGAGTGGTGCAGTTGATACAGTATAAGGAAGGGATCCCATCCAGAGGGAACTTGAAAAGTGAGCCTACAGGAGTCTAATGAGATTCGACAAGGCCAAGTGCAAGGTGCTGCTTGCGTTGAGGCAATCCCAGACTGGGATAAGAACTCATTGCAAGAAGCCCTGCAGAGAAGGACTTGAGGCTACTGGCAGACAAAAAGCTGGACTTGTGCCAGCAGTGTGCACTTGCAGCCCAAAAGGCTAATGGAATCCTGAGCTGCATCAAAAGACGGGTGGCCTGTAAGGAAAAGCAGACGATTGTCTCCCACTACTCTGCCCTTATTAGGCCCCATTTGGAATACTCCATCCAGGCCTGGGGTCCCCACACAAGAAAGAGAGCTGCTGGAGCAGATTCAGAGAGGGCTATGAGGATGATTAGAAGGCTCTCTTATAAAGAAAGGTTGAGGGAACTGGGATTGTTTAGCTCCAAGAAGAAAAACTTCTGAGGAGACCTCATTGTGACCTTTCAATATTTGAGGGAAGCTTGTAAGCAGGTGAGAGACTGACTTTTGACACAGTCTGACAGTGACAGGACAAGGGGGAATGGCTTTCAATTAAAAGAGGGAAAGTTTATGTTAGACATTAGGTAGAAATTCTTTACTCAGAGGGTGTTGAGAATTGGAATAGGTTGCTCAGAAAAGTTGTGGATGTCCCATTCCTGGAGCCATTCAAGGCTGGGCTGAATCTCTGGCACAGCCTGATTTAGTGTCTGGCAACCCTGCCCACAGCAGGGGAGCTGGAACTAAATGATATTCAAGGCCCCTTCTACCTAAGCCATCCTATGATTCTCTGATATAACCTCTGAATACCATCTATAGTAGGTTGTATAGGAAAACGTTCAGGTGAGTTTGGGATATCTCTGGAGAAGGAGACTCCACAGCCTCCCTGAGTGGCCTGTTCTGTGCTCTGAAATGCCCAAAGTATTTTTTTTTCTCATGTTCATATGAAACTTCATATGTTCCAGTTTGTGTCCATTGTCCCTTGTCCTGTTATTGGCAATGACCAAAATGCACCTGTTCCCATTGTCTTGACACGCACCCTTGAGATACTTGTAAGTAATGTTAAGATTCCCTCTCAGTCTTCTCTTCTTCAGGCTGAACAGTCCCTAGTCTTTCAATCTTCCCTCATGAAAGAGATGCTCCAGGCCCCTAATCAACTTGTAAAATCTCTTGAAGTTCCCTGTCTTTCTTGAACTGGGGGCCCAGAACTGTCCACAGTACTTCAGATGGGGACTCACCAGGGCAGAATAGGGGGAGGAGAATCTCCCTTGACAAGCTGCCCACTCTCTTTTTAGTGCACCACAGGATAACATTAGCCTTCTTGGCCACAAAGGCACACTGATAACTCATGTTCGACCTTTTGTCTACCAGGACACCTAGGTCCTTCTCTGTAGAGCTCCTCTCTAGCAGGTAAGCCCATAACTTGTATTGATGCATGTGGTTATTACTCTCCAGGTGGATATACTCTTGTTGGACCTCATAAGGTTGTTCCTCTGCACCCAGCTTTCCAGATTGTCCAGGTCTCACAGAATCACAGAATCACAGAATCACAGAATCACAGAATCACAGAACTGTAGGGGTTGGAAGGGACTTCCAGAGATCATCGAGTCCAACCCCCCTGCCAAAGCAGGTTCCCTACAGTAGGTCGCACAGGTAGGTGTCCAGGCAGGTCTTGAACATCTCCAGAGAAGGAGACTCCACCACCTCCCTGGGCAGCCTGTTCCAGTGCTCCATCACCTCACCTAAAGAAGTTCTTGTGCACATTTGTGCAGAACTTCCTCTGCTGCAGTTTCTGGCTGTTTCCCCTTGTCCTGTCTCCACACACTGCTCAAAACAGTCCGGCCTCGCCATTCTGCCCCCCACACCTTAGACCTGGATCAGGTCCCCTCTCAGTCTTCTTTTCTCAAGGCTGAACAGACCCAGTTCACCCAGCCTTTCCTCATAGGAGAGATGCTCCAGGCCCTTCACCATCTTCGTGGCCCTCTGCTGGACTCTTTCCAAGAGATCCTTGTCTTCTTTGTACTGGGGAGCCCAGAACTGGATGCAGTGCTCCAGATGAGGTCTTACCAGGGCAGAGTAGAGTGGGAGGATCACCTACCTCCACCAAGTCCTTGATGGAAGAATGATCTTGGGATGAAACAAAGTATTCTGATACTTTTAAGGGAACTGATATTCATGTCTATAGCTGACAACATTCTGTTTCATAGAAAGAGCAAACTTTGGTAAGAGCAAAGAGCAAAACTTTGTTTTGCAAACAGGTACACAGGTACACAATACAGTTGGGCTGTGTATCACGCACTAGCCATGTGGATGTGGTGTACAAATGCAAAAACCTTGCAGACCCTGAGAAAAATAAAAGCAGGAGAGTCTGTGATGGGTGAGAGAATGTTTTTCCTGATAGGCTTCAAAATCTTGCACTGTCTATCCATTTCCCAAGAGATGGTTCAGCACATAAAAAACCATCTACCCTTACATTCAGTATTTAGGTAATTTTATTGGCTAATGAAATAAGACTTTGTTGATCTGGTCCACCTCAGTTTGTAGTATGTATATTCCTAGTCAGTAATTGTCCTTGCTGTATTTCTCTATTACTCTTAATGCTTCTGGTTTCCTACAACTTTGCACTTTTACAGGTGTGTTCAATATTGATATATTTCTTTTGCTACGCCTCTCTTTATCAGCTGTCCAAAAATCTGAAATTATTAGCAATTATTTAATATTTTTTTTGGTGTACTGAAATACACATTTACTGAATCTTTCCCTTAGTCTCTGTATGAGCAGCTAGAAATTCCAGAGCCTGACTTGCTATTTCCCTTTGTCTCCTTTCTAGAGCTGCTATGGGATTACCATTTTCATGGATATATCCAAGAATTTTAGCTTCTGTCCAGGTACACATGATATAGAACTAATAATCTCCTACCACAATGAGCAGAGGGCTAACATTATTTTCAAGAAAAAATACAGTTAATTTTTGCTCATATGTTTTATCCAAAGAATCCAATAAAGATCAGATACTTTTTCCCCAAGAGAAAAGGGTTTCAGTCCTGCTTTTTATAACAAAGGCAAGATGCCCTTAACTTTATCGTTTGCTTTTGGATCTCAAAACCTTGACTTGTTTGTTATTTTTCTTTTAAGTTTCCAGACTTGCAATTCAAAAAGCTAGCTTATCTCCCACTGTGTTCATTTCCCTCCTAGCTTAATTTCAAATTACAAAGGAGAGAGGGGGAAGGCAGAGAATGCCAGGATTCTAGTTGCTTACAAGAGAAAAATATGATGCTGAATTCCTGGGGAAGAAAGTATTTCCAAGCTAAGGAATCTTAGGATTCTTGTTTGTCCCTGTGTATAAACTACTAATGTGATTTTTGTCTAAACAATACAGGATTAATGTCATTATCAGTTATTACCGTGACAGTTGACAGAAGATGCTGACAGCAACAAGTTTAAACCAACAGTGAAAACCATCCCTTAGTTAAAGTCTGCATTAAGTTGTCTAAAAGGCCTGCATTCTGTATTTACCCTTTATTTTTGAATTCTCAAATCAGCCTCAAGTTATCAGTGGCAACGCAGACTGACAGTCAGGAATCATAAAACCAGAATGTAAAAAGTTTCCAGCAAACCCAAACAGCTGGCAATCTCTGATTTCTATTTAAACATGCAGGCTGTTAATTTTTTCAAGCTGCAAAAAATACTCATGCTCATTGAGGACACTTCTGAAAGCAAGCATAATGCACAACATTTCAAAGCCACTTAAGGAAAAGATTAATTAAAAGAATTAAAAGTCTTTCCAGTCCAAATAAGTATTCTGTAAGCTAAATTTGATATTCTCCAAAACTCTGCTGAAAATAATTTACTGGGGCCAGCAAAGTGCTGCACCCACAGGCCCACCACAAGTGAGTTGCTCCTCACAACCAGATTTTAACCAGCTGCACTTTAGCTCCACTGCCCCCTCATTCTGCTGCCTCATCTATCCATTTAGTCATGCAATTAATGATCACAGTCACAAATTAACTCCTGTGCCTACAGTCATTCCTGCAGATACAGTGCTTAGAAGTTATTAGTACAATGTCTGTCCCATGGATTTAAATCTATAAGCCCAGATCATATTAATATTTTGCAATAAGCATGTACGGTGCAGGGCACTGTCACATTTATTTGTGAATGTTATTTATTGCAATGAAAAAAGCTTTCTGTGATAAAAATGAGAAGTTAGTTAAGCTTATAGAAACGCTGATATCAGGAAAAGCTTTTTTCAAGCAAATGAATCACTGTTAAAGAAGGCTCTTTGGTGCTTAGATTTGCCATTAATTTAAATCTTAGAAGCAGAAACTCCTGCAAGATTTTTCATATGCATTGTTTTATGACTCAATAAACGGAGTAAGACCTGAAAAATCTGAAAAAATAATACATCTTAAATAAATTATCTTGATGATCCTATCTGGATCCCCATCGAAATGATCTATGCCACTCAGACCACCACAGAACTCCATCAGACACTTCTGTCAGAAACTGCTTCATACCACCTCTATGTTTTGGGTTTTTTTCTCCTCATAGTGCAGGCATCCTTCTACTCAACATGCAAAGGACTGTGTGTTAAATGCTTACATTACTGGAATCTAATTAAATTTGAGGATTTTTTTTTCATTTATAATCAAATTTCCAGAAGTACTGAAATTTTGCTTTCATACCTCTTTGATTTCTGAATTCCTCCCCTCTTAAAAAACCCAAACCAATTTTTTTCAAGGCAGGAATGCAGAATATGTTATCTTCTGTCCACTTCCCTGCAATGTATTTTCAATTTAGGTTCTGTTCCTACAAATTACAACTAAAATGAGCTCCTAATGTTGGCAGACCTACAGGGTGAGGATGGATGAAAGGTCAGGTATTCACAGCACTTACTGGTTGAAGCAAATAAATCAGCGAGCTCTCCTGGATAACTATCACTGGAAAAGGGGTGATATTTGTTGCATGAAAAAGTGTTTCCACTGATGCCATTGTTTGGTCAAAGCGTCCTCCAAGTCCACCCAAAGTCACAATCAAATCAATCTAAAAGACAAAACAAAAGTCACCAAGAGAACTATCATCAAGATACCTCCACAGATGATCTTTAGATCCTGAAAATCAAAAACTGAATCACTTTGATAAGAAAAAAAGTAACAAAAAAAATATATTGACTATACAAAAGCAGATCTCAAATACAGCCATTTTCTTTCATTATTAATGAATACCATTACGCAATTCTTGATGTTGAGTATTTAAGCTCAGTAAATTCACAGTCAACATGTGGTACTTTAATGAAGGACCTAATTGCTTTGCCTAACACAGAGACCAGTCCTAGCAGACACCTATCTGTTTAGCTCAACTGCATAGATAAGATATATCCCTTCACACCTTAGGATCTTATATCTGCAGATCTTAAAAATTGCTTCAGATCATTCTCATAATCTACAGAGAAGATAAATCATTGGTACGCTGTATGCCATTCTTGCTCCCTCTGCAGAACATTTTAGCATACAAACTCACACACAGGCTGGCTCTCCTCAAGACTAATTGCACTACTGCTCTGAAGAGATTGCATGCACCCTGCAACTGCCGTATCTCCCAGGTGTTGCTGCTAGGGATAGAAGCAATCCTTGATTGAGCCCCAGGCCATGGAGTCAGCCAGCAATTTTGAGTCCCAAACACCTCATAAAGCCTCTGTACACTCTTTACTTCTTACAAGCAGAGAGCTTATTTAAGAGCTTTTAGTTCCTCAGATAGAAAGTCACTGAGTGCAAAATATTTTTATTACTTCCACCATGCAGGTCAAGTACGTTCAGTAACTGTAATTTCAAAAGCTACCATTTAGTAAGTAGCATGCAGAGCCCAAACACATTGCAGCTCTAAAGCTTTTAGAAGCTCCAATGACAATAGCCATCTGGTGAAGTTTTCTGCTTTACAAGGCCTAAGACTATGGCCACTCTGAGGGGCAGGGAATGATGCATATGTATACTTCCACATTTTGAAGTGTAATATAAGTTGCAGTGGGATTGCCAGGTCACAGCCTGAACCAACGACTAAGCACCAGATGAGAAGATGTGGCTAACCTAGTGAGCTCAGGTGCAAGCAAGGCACCTGACTGACAGGAAGGGATGGAGCCTGGATCCATCCCTTCACCCCTCATTTAAGGGCTAGCAGCGTTTCTCTGAATAGAGATTGTACTCAACAGCTGTTATTGGTTGTTGGATGAGATGAACAATTTTTTTTTCTTCTTTATTACTTTATTAAATGCTATTGCTCCATAGCATTTGTATCCTTGGAAAGCACTCTCATCACCTTCTTTTGCATAAGTGATACAGAAATCCTACTCCTTATTCAGTAGCAATTGCACAGTGATCTTGGGAGCTGGTAATAAATGTAAGAAAATAAAACCAATACATCATGGAATAGATCTGTTGAAAATAATGGCTTGAGAGGGATGGGACCTTAAAGATCATCTAGTTCCAACCTCTCTGCCATGGGCAGAGTTGCTAACAGCTAGATCAGGCTGCCCAGTGCCCTATGCATCCTGGTCTTGAACACCACCATGGAGGGGTATACACAACTTCTCTGTTCAATCTGTTCCATTGCCTCACCACCTCCTAAGTAGAAGAAGGGGTAAATGAAATCTCTTATCCTGCTTGCCACCCCTCTTTTGATGCAGCCCAAGATGCAGTTGGCCCTCTGGACTGCAATCACATGCTGCTGGCTCACGTTCAGCTTTCCATATGCCAGGACCTCCAAGTCCTTCTCAAGTCCAGGTAGATGACATCAGTTCCTCTTCCTTTGTCTACTGATGCCATCATTTCATCATATAACGACACCAGATTAGTCAGACACAATTTGCCCTTGGTAAAGCAATGATGGCTGTCACAGATCACCTTCTTATCTTGCATGTGCCATAACATAGCTTCCAGGAGAATCTGTTCCATGATTTTCCCAGGAACAGATGTGAGGATCCCCAGCCTCTAGTTCCCTTTCTCCCTTTCTTAAAAACAGGAGTGATGGAGGAAAGGAGGACCTTTTCTGGTCACAAGGGACTTCACATGAAGGCCATGATTTTTCAAATATGATGCAGAGTGGCTTGCCAAGTACATCAACTAATTCCTTCAGGACCCTGGGATGCATATCATAAGGCCCCATAGACTTGTACAAACACAATGGTAAAAACTGAGGTTTGTGGTTGTGGTATGTTTGGAGAAGACTAAAAAAGATACTGTAAAAGGAAATGTAGCTATTATTCTGGTTTCTTTGTTCCTGTAAAGTAGAAAAATATGTCTGTGACAGGTATGGAAACAAAACCAGCTAGAGTACCCCAGGAATGGGCAGAGAGAAAAGCTGAATTCTACGCTTGGGTGACAGCAGACAGTTTGCGTTTCACTGCAGAGTCCTGGAGGCAGTGATGGACATCCAGATATTTTGGGACATAAAATCTCTGCTGGAAGGTTTAGGATACACAATTTGTTTATTTATTTAACAAACAGACAAAGAGGCTTACTCCAGCAAAACCTCAACAGATTTTTCATCTTAAAGCTATCACCTCCATTCAAAAAAAGCAAATCTGCAAGCTAACAAAACAATCTGCTTCTTCCCTGCAATCTCTGATTCTCATTCCACCAAGCACTAAGGAAACTGGACAGAATGTGAATGCACATGCATGAATCTTTGTAATCCCACAGAATAAGAAAAAGTGAAAACCCAAGCACAGAGCATTTATAGATTTGCCCACTACTGAGGAAAGGCCATTCATTTTTCCCGTATGAGGCTAGAGAATTATACCCAGCTCCTGCCCAGCAGGTAGCACTTGACTAACACACTGCACTTCAATTGAAATATCCATAATTCACTTAAATGTCCTGTCAAAAGTCCTTTTACACCTTTTTGTTTTCACACAGTGCTATTCATTTCCAGAGAAAAGGTGATAATAACTGCTAAGAATATCAAGATCCTAGCAAGAACAAGTGTAAAGTGGGCTGCATTCTATTAGACTTTATAAAGCCTGACTTAAATTCCTTCTACAGCATTTTTAGTGCAATCAAGCTTCATTTCATAAAGAGTTGAAGTTCTAATCATGGGATTTGTCATCTTTAAATTAAATTTATACATCAGCATCTTTTGAAATGGCTTTAGGCGTTGCAGTGGGGCTGTTAAAGGAAAAGAGAAGCACAAAGAAACACTCTGCACCTGGCACTTTGGATTCTTCTTCCTTCCTTTCTTTCTTCTGCCTTAAGGTATAATTTAGAGCAGGCTGTAACCTTGAGGTTACTGAGGGTGCCATCACATCAGTGTGAGGCTGCTCAGCTCCCTGCTTCCATTTCCACAGAGACTACAAAAATACACAGTTTGCTATAAATTGTCTGCTGACTTGCTAAACACTCTTTTTCCATGGAAAACGGGCTCAGCAAACATCTCTCTTTCTGGTATGGGTGGATTAAATGAGAAGACTTTACTTAGAAAAGTGATGGACAAGTTATTTAAGGAGAAGGGTGAAAGGACAGAAGAAGCTGGGAACTGCCTCAGGTAGGTGAAAAGAACTTCATATCCTGCTTTGTAACACAAGCATCACCACACCATCCAAGAGCAAAGCCTCAAAGCTCAAACTGACAGCAGAGGATGCCCACTCCTTTTAAAACTGTGCTCCTTATATCAGATAAGAAACTTATATCAGATAAGAAATCGGTAGCACTGGAACAAATTACAAGAAAGACCATCCTAAAGGAAAGAGGGAAGGCAAGAACAACATGTCATGAAAGCTCTGGAGCCATAAACCTTCCTCCCTGTGAGAACAAGAAGACCATCCACTGCTATTATCCCATATATTTCTATGCCAATTACAGATCAGATACTGCATTTGAACACCACTTCTTATCACCTCCACACTTCATTGGTATCTTGTCACCTTCATTACTTCATTTCCTAACATTCAAAAGTCTACTGCTTTAATACAAAATACTGGAGGGAGATGAAAGAGAACAAATTTATTGTAGCAGCATGCATATATTAAAGCATATTTTATGCTGAAAAGTAAACACTTAAATAGTGGTGTGAATGTTGTATTTACTATTCAGTTTGACACTATAAAGGATGCACATACCAACATGAGCTATCACCTTGGAACCCAAGCCTGACAGGACAGTATTAAATGACTGTTTGAATGATTAAAAGAGAGAAAAAGGAAGCAAGAAAGAGAGCCTTCCTCATCAACCTACAGATATCCTTGGATCAATAGAATGCTGCTGGAATCTATGGTGGTGATTACTTCCTGCTTTTTATACAGAACTCTCATTTTTACTTCCTGTCTTTTTGCTATCACTCACCTTCCCTTTCCTATCTCCCTAACTATGAATTTGTAGTAAACTGGGAGAACATTTGCCCTCTTTTTGTATCTCCATCTCACTCCAGGTATACAATACAAATCACCTTTACTCCAGTAATTGGAGCGAGGCAATTGGCTTTCTAGTGTCTTACACGAAAGGCATGGCAATTATTTCCTACAGGGATGATATACACAGTTACATAGCAGTGTCTGCACTTTGCTCAGATGGGATCCTCTTCTCTAGCAGCAATTTGCTTGTTGCTTTGGTCATCTGACTCCTCAGGAAATAAGAGCCTGTCAGCTAGAGGCTGTCATCCTGTCTGTGGGCCTGAGATGGTATCCTACCATCTACTACTTCTGTCACAGCGGGAGCACTGTGTGGACTTCCAGGGATTGCCAGGCTGCCTCAAACTATTTGTAAAGAGATAAACTGCTGTATGACCCATCTCCTTCCTTTTGGCCAAGACTCAGAACTTATGGCTGAGGATCGGGATAAGCTGAAGGCTACCAGAGGCCTTGGGGCTGCAGAGTACATGAGGGCTTGGGCTGCAGGCTGAATCACTTCTGTTGAGCACCATCCACTTCTCATAACATTCTACTTTGCAACAACGTCACTACTTGCCTACTTCCACCCCTACATTCCCATTCTAGACAAGAAAAAAATGAAAAAGAAAAACCCACAATGGCTTCAAAAGATTTAACTAATATTACA